CCGGGGTATTAGGTTTTATCGTCCTCCTCGGCATCGGTATGCGAGGGCCGTCAGCTCTCTTAAGGCGGTTCCCTCCGGAGGGGGCGCAACGAGGGGGGCGGTCTCCGCATCTGCCCCTTGTTGCTCGGCAGCCACCCTTATTTCATGCTCGGGGGCGGCCTTCGGGCCCTTATTTATGGGGCTGGGCCACGGGTTCGGGTTTTTCTCAGAGGCCCGATGGCCGCCCTCGCGGGGAGGCGCGTGGGCGCGGAAGAGGTGTCGGATGTGGCCACATCGGCTTCCTCGTTAGCCGAGCTATAACTTATTAATTACAGCCGACTAACGCACTCCAGCTGTGTCTCGCGTCTTCTCGGCTCTTCGCCCCCGCCCCCCGAAGGCCGCCTTCCGGTGCCCTGCCGAGGAACGCAGTCGTCCTCCGAACTTTCTGCGGGCACTTTCCCCATCCCAGGGGACCGAGGGAGGAACGGCAGATAGAGCGAGAAGGAAGCGGGGCATAGCAGAGGACGAAAGCTGTAACTCACGCCCCCGAGAGGATTACCTACCTTGCGAGCCTGGAGGAGGGTACCGGCTTGAGCTACGGTGCTTGCTGCGTAGCTACGCGTTTCTCATACCGAGTCTCTCCCCGGGCACGAACTGGGTTGCCTAGGGTGTGACGTCTCGCGGCCGAGACGCCGGATGCGAGGCCGATGTCGCGGAAGAGCTACCCCTGCGGTCTGGGTGGAAGGAGACGATGCCATGAGTACGGAAAGAGGACCCAGAGGTTTTGGACCAACGCCCAAACCACTGTACTCGAATTCGAAATTCCGGGGGTATTTTTATGGCTTTTCGATGTGGAGTTTAAAGTACAGGGATGATTTTACGTGCACGCGTTCGGGGATGTGATCCTTCCCTAGGTGGGTGCAGGGTGCGTCGACGGCACCAAACCCACGTTGCAGACACCCTGTATCGGGTCCGTCCTTCTTAATTTAGCGGCTCCAGCACCCGGGCCGGAAATTGTCGGTGCTGTAGGTATAAGGGAACGCTGCTGATTTCGCAAATATCGATTCGTCACCGAACCCTCCGACTTGCCCTAACTTACCCCCGACGACCGAACTTGCGCGCAACAAATTGGCTCCGCGAGAAACTTACGGCTGGGCGATCCCGCAATTTAGGGCTAAAGGGGACGACGCGTTGCTCGATCTCGCTGGCAAAAAGCTCGACGCGGTGCCCGGGGGTAGGTAACCCTCTCCGTCTTGGCCGTGGGCCGACGCGAGAGGGTGCTCGTACATCTCGGGGACGGATTCCGAGGACCTTCGCGGTGCTCGCCAATTCACTTACTTTGATTTGATTGTAGCCGCGTATGATCCGCTCCTCGGGTGCGAGCTGCCATCCCGGAGGGGGCAAACGCCCCCGGGAGTTGGACCGCCTCTGGGGGTGTTTTGCGAGTTTCGCGGAGTTATACGAGCGAATCTCCGCCAGCAATCAACGTATTGGCTGTTCTTATTAGAATCGGCGAGAGAACTCGAGGAGGAACGGGGAGTCCCGAAGAGGGAAGCGGTTCCCCTTTTATGGCCGAATAACCTCGGCTTCGGCGTCCCCCCGCGACGATTCTCGGCCATTTTGGGGTAAATCTCTTCGGTAGGAGATTTCCGATTCCTTAATGTTTCACCCTATAAAACTCCTCGGCGGAGTCCTTTGGCTCGGTCTAAAATGCCTCGGGAGAGACTGAGAACTTCCCGACGCAGAAATGGCCGCGATTCCGGGGGAGGGGGCGATTTGAATTTTTCGGGCATACATCAGAGGCTTATTCGGATTCAGGGATGGAGGATTCGCCTGCTGGGAGGTTCTCGACGAAATGCATTCTCTTAAGGCCCGAGGTTGAGGGAGGATTACTGGGGCGATTACTGGGCTCGAAAAGGGGTGGCGCGCGAAACGTCGATCCTTATAAATTATCCGGGCAATCTGAAACTTTTTTTAGCATCGGCTCTGACGAGGATCTATTTATCGAGGGCGAACGAACCCGTCATAGATGTTCCATTCGCAGATTATCGAATTCAAACCCCCTTTTTGCAAGGCGCGCAATTCTGCCCCCCGCGACTTCCGAGTAGATCCATAAGCCAGCGGGGGCGTATTTTTCAAGCCGGTGGGGCATGTTCCCCCGACCAAACTCTCCTCTTATCCGCCCCTTAGCGGTACGAAACACGCTCCGCGACTCCGTCACGAAATTTATCCACCCTCTTGGTTAAACAGCCACGCACGCTCGGGTCTCTTAGGGGGCGCCTAACTTCGTTTGGCCCCGTCGACCAAGATACAGGATTCGAAGGGGTGGCATACCGAGGGGCGGCGATCCGGAGTCTCGGGGAAAAGGCCGGGAAGGGAGAGGGTCGCCTGTCACATTTTCTACTTTGCGGAGACGTATGAGGGAGGCTTAATTGGGAGAACCCCCTCTTTTATTTATAAGCTCGCCAGTCTATCGTCCGCGCCCCTTGCCACGAGAAAAGCGCCTCCAACCCCTCTCCACCCGTTACGGAATCCCAAAAACCCAATAACGAAGCCGACCGAAAAAATATTTAAAAAGTAACGACCGACCCGCAAACCAACTTTCCAACGACTCCACGGCGATAATGTACGCAAGGACGACGAGCAACCGAGGAACCAAGAACTCTGCAAACTCGGGGGTGGAAACTTCCTCCACCCCTTTTCCCGACGTTCGGCGAGTTCTCGCTATATTCCGACTCGAAATCTGGATTAAAAGAAATTTCTTCCGAGGGCACCTACCCCCGAGCTCGCGTTCGCTGCGCCGGTCTCTATGGGGAGGCGCCCACCCCCGTGACAAATAACCCTTATAAACGCCGCGCCATAACTCCGCGCTCACCCCTTGCCGCGGGCGTGACAACCTGGAACGATGATCGCCCGGTCGGTCGCGGGGGTGGCGGCCCACTTGATTACGTCGCCATAATAAACATGACGCCGATATGAACTCTGCCTCGAGTGGAGGGCTCGAGAGTTGGTACCTACCCCCGTTGACCGCGACTTCGCAACCCCCACCGCGACACCTATGGATCGGCGCAGATACGATTGTAAATATGACGCGTTTATTGAGGGGATGATACGCATCGTGCATTCTGAACCGCCCCTGCCCACCCCAACCACCCTTTCGCGTGGCCGCGTCCGATTTTCGGTGTTTCCGCCCATTGCCCAAAGTTTACACGCGTAGCGTTCTCCTGGTATAGTAAAGGGTTGTTACTCCTGCGGTATAAGGGTTGATTTTCGGAGTAATTCGCCTACAGGATCTGAAATAAATATTCATCGTCAGAATAAGTCGCGCTTATCAATTCAAGGGTCATAGGGGATGGTTTTGTAGCGACTCGCAGATTGTCTATTAAATTTCTCCCGCGAAAATATATGAAATTTATCGAGAGGACGATACACATTTTGCATTCGCGAATGACTATCCTTCCGGGTGGATGAGCTCGATCTCGATGGGTCCACCGGTCGGCGGTACAAAGTTTACACGTGACGACGAGCTCCCCAAATTTACGGCACGGTGTTCTTTGCGTGGAACTTATTTCCCTGCGAGGAGGAATTCGGAGTCGAGGGGTGTCGGTCGGAGCCGGGAATGGAAGTTCTAAACTTCGGGGATAGATAACACTTCCCGGGACGTGCATGGGTTTGAACGAACTCCTTCTTGCCTATTCTCGCGTCGCGACCGTAAAAGTATTCCGGCAATTCCGCGTGCGGGGAATTACGTTAGAGTTTGCCCCTTGCTAGGTTCTTAATGACACCTGTCGGATGGTCCGCCTCCAGACTATCGATCTAAATCTCGCAGCTAAAATCTAGAGTCGCTCCAAAGACGAATCTCTTAACGATCGAAAATTTCATAACTCACCCCTGACCCCAGCAGTCTCCACAAGAGGTCGACATTTCCGTAGCGACACGTAATATTAGTTACGTTCCCGTGGGCGTGGGCTAGGAATTATCCGGGGGTACCTGGAGCTGGTGACCCCATTGTGGATCGTCAGGACGGAAGTGGTGGTAGAAAGCGAAAGGCGAGAATATCGGTGGAGGAATTTTCCTGGGGATGTGTGCACACGGCCACGTAGTTCATAGGAGGCGTGCTCGCCTCCTCGGCGGAGGTGGCTGCCGATCCAGGGTGGCAAGTCGTGGTGTAGGTGGAACGGGCTTTTTACGAGGCAGTAACGGCCGATAAGGTGAACTCGAGCTCCCGTCGGAGCTTATACCTCTATTGCGCCCAAGTGGCCGTTCCGCGTCCTCGAGGAGCATCCCGGAGATTCCCTCCACTCTGCGGTTCAAGGTCGCCCCTGGAACCTCTCGAAAGCGGAGACAAATCTTAAGATAAATACTTTCCTGGCCTCCTCCACTAAATACGGTCCCACCTTCCGGGTCCAGCCTCCGGTACATGGATTATTCCTCCCATCGATCCCAGGGCGATAGAGTCGAGCCAAGAGCCCTCCCCGGAGGTGTTTGCATATTTCCGATAGAAACGTATCCTCGTCAACGGGGTCAAGTATTCGGCGGACATCTGGCACTCGGAGACGTTGGAAAGGAAGAGAAGAGGGCCCGGGGAGGCAGTTCTTCGGCGTTCTTCTCTCTAGTGTCAAGTACGACGTCGAGTGGTGTGGAGGCCTGCACACCGTCTCGACTCCGTCCCCGGGTCCGAGCGTGCCTACTTTATTCCAAGCCATTTGCATATTCCTACTCCAACATCCGAGCCCGCGTCTTGGAGTGCACGTGGTGCGAAATTTAGGACTCCGCGTCCAGGCACCTGTTTCGAGGGGCCCGAGAAAGTCGATTTGGTCGCCAATCGACGACGGGCAAACGAGGTGGACAAGACGTTCGGGCCTCGACGACACGTCGTTTGGGGTGCCCGTCGAGCCGATGCCAACCAGAGACCCCTTTTGCGTAACCTCGGGCCCCGCTCGTGGAAATTCCCAAATCTTATCATTTTTCACCGTCGGTTTCGCCCACGACTCAAGCGAGTCCTTCCTTTCTGATTGCAGGGGCGAACGGGCTGCGCAGGCGCGGCCGCCAGACGTACACCCGCTACCAGACCCTGGAGCTGGAGAAGGAGTTCCACACGAACCACTACCTCACCAGGCGGAGGCGGATCGAGATGGCGCACGCACTCTGCCTGACGGAACGACAGATCAAGATCTGGTTCCAGAATCGGCGGATGAAGCTCAAGAAGGAGATTCAGGCGATCAAGGAGCTGAACGAGCAGGAGAAGCAGGCCCAGGCGCAGAAGGCCGCGGCGGCCGCGGCCGCGGCTGCGCACCAGCAGCAAGGGGGCGGAGGGGGACCCGAAGGGGGCAACTAGGGGTACGCCCTGCACCGGAGCCCCCCCGACCCCCCCACCGGCAACCCTCATCACCCTCTACTAGCACCGCAATGTACACAGCTATACTAAGGTGAGATCTTATTAAGAAACCGTTGGTGCGTTAACCGACTGATAAAAAGTAGTTGACTCGAAGAGGCATGCATTGCGACATTAAAATCCTGCGGATCAAATATATCCAAGGAAATGTCAAAACACTTTTTCTTCTCGAGGAAGTAATTCTTTCTCGTAATTATGTACGATTCGAGCGACGATGTGCACATTTCTTTCGGTCAACTGATAATTTTTTCTCGGGATAAACAAGGGGATGTAGAGTTGTATGTTGACGGACAATTTAGATTTGGTAGTAAGTACGAGCTGGATGGGGGGAGGATTTCACGAGGAATCGCGAAGGGGTGATCTATGGGTCTTTTATTCAAGTATCATCGAATCGGGGGGGTTCGCCCCCCTTGGTGGCGCGACTTAAGGTCCTCGCCGCTTGCTCCGCTAAGACTTCAATGTATGCCGTGTACTAAGGCGGGCCTTAGTCTGATACCTTAAGCTTACCAACAAGCCCGATTCACCCGAATCCGGCTTGGATCTCCGAACTTTCTCCGAGTTACGGGTCGAGTTGCCAACTCCGTGTCGGAGCTCTGGACCGGCCGCGGACAGGACTATTCGGATCTCGGGGGAGTGAATAAGCTCTCGGGAGTTCTCCTTCTCCTTGGGGGGAAAAGAAAAAAGAAAAAAAATGAGAAATGTACGGGGAAGATTAATGCAGACGGAATGGCAAGAACTTTTTAAGCGGCGGTTTGATTGAGAGGGGGATTTAGGGCGAGGGAGAGGGACTATTTTCGGGGAGCTTTGCGCGGAGGCCGAACGTGGTCGCCTGTAAAAAGTATCTTCGGGCGGCGTATCTAACGAGGTTAAAACCACGTCCGAGCGTGCCTTCATAATTTCCTAAGTTATTCCACTCGCGTGCCCTGTTCGTACTCGCAATGAACGCGTACCTAAAAAGAGATAGCGCAATGGGAGCATGTTCAAAGCTGAAATGTTACGGCTTCGTGTTCGCAGAGTTAAACCCGTTGTCTTCACGATGGATAGTATTGGATGGCTGGGTATAATTCCTGCCTTGTCTGAAAACAGAACGGCGATTCATACTTCAAATAAAGGAAGAATGGGATCGTTGTACGAACTCGTTTCGCCTTGAGGCATGCCGAGTACCTTGCGAGAAAAAAAAAATAAAAAGAAATCCAACGCTCGGGTCAGCCGAAGTGCAAGGGCCGGAATTAACGCGGCTTTCTCGTATTTTCCTTTTTTTCCTCTCTCACTTATTTCATTTTCCCGCGGCGTAGGAGGGGACGGAAATAGAAAGTTCGCGACAGGTAAAGAAGTCCCCGTTTTTCGGAACCCCGGCCCCCGTAATTTCGTGTCGCTCTCGAAAGTTCTCCAAGTCATTCTCGGAAGACGGAGGGCTTTGAAAATATATCCCTCGTAAAAAAGAAAGAAAATAAAGGCCCACGCTTTTCCGCACTTTCCCTCGACTTTCTCCGAGGGTTTTTACGACCCTTTATGTGTCTAGGTCGAGGGCGATAGCACGATGCCGGCGGAGGAGGGGAAAAGGTAGACGTGGAGAGAACAAAAAAAAGGGAAGTAGAAAAAAAAAAAGAAATGGAAGGAAAGCATCCCTGCGCGACTCCACTCGTGTTTCGGCTTGGTAGCGCCAACCGAGCCGCGTGGTCCTCGGGAACGAATGCGGCATCCAGATGTTTTCAGAAATAACGACACTTCGCCAGGCCATCATAAAAAAGGAGAACGTTTCCCCAGTTAAGCTCTGATTTGCGATGTTTCTTTGAGCCCTGAAATAGTCGTACTTGTCCGCCGAGGGCGATAACTCAGCCCTTTCCCTCTGATTAGCCCGCGACAGGTCGGCTCCGTGTACCTTATCGTGTAAAAGCGAAACTCGGCGTGAATTCTCGATATTCGAGGTAATTTAGGAAAACGCGTCGCCATTCGCGTGCACCGGGTGGAGGGAATAAAAGAAGGGAAAGGAAAAAGGAAAAAAAAAACAGCTGGGGATTATTTATCGGAGCGGAGCCTTCCGATCAAAACATCGGAACCCTTTATCAGGGGACAGGGTCACGCGAGCAATTCGTCGCGCGGCAATAGGAGCGAGAGAGATATCGCGGCATGGAGGGCTTCATAGACTCCGGGGCGAATTATGGAGTGGCGGTGCCATCTAGCGGCGTTAAACACATTTGGCTTAGTTATGGCTGCTGACCTCCCTCCCGCGTGGTGGGCGTACCCGGTAGGCGGCAGCCTACGCCGAGGGGAAGGCGCATCAACCATTGCTCGTTCCCGCGTTACCTCGAAACCTTGCGACGAGTTTTCTCCACTTATCTCGCGAAAAGGTACTTCTTCGATAGACTCGAACGTTCGGTTGCCGTTCGCGAAGACGTTTCGAGAAGAAGGGAGGGCTCGGAGGAGAAGAAACGGCGATATTTTCGTATACGATTCCGGAGGCTCGGGTGGAAGTAGTCCTCCGCGCGGGACTACTTTCCCGGTTCGCGCGCGGCGCGGCAGATGGCGGCACGGCCTCTTGGCCGGCGCGTCGGTAACGCATCGATCTGGCTTACCGACCCTCGATCGGTAAATCGCTTAATTTAGGGAGCCGCTCTACCCGCTAAGTGCCCCTGCCTCGGTAGTTCAACGATCCGCCGTAATGCGCTTTATGGTCTGTTTTTATCGACGCGACTCGGCACGCGCGTCCGAGCATAAACCTCCGGCAGCGTCCGTGTGCGTCGCGCGTGTGTTTTATACTCTCCGCGATCCTCTCTATTCCGGCACTCTCGTTTTCTCGCTCGACCCTTTCTCCGTCGGCGACCATCGATCAGTCAGCGGCCCAATAACTGCGTAGCCCTGGCAAAGTCCAAATGGAGCGACCGGTGTGTCGAATTTTACCGAGCCGCTTCCAGGCGAGATTTTGACGGGCGGCACGCGGCCCCCTCCCCCTCGTCAAACGCGCCACGAGGATCTTTATTGGTTGTAAAAGAAGACGTTTACGGTCCATAAAGGCCCCCGTAACGCGAGTAGTCTTATATGCCCCACCACCGTACCCCTTGGCGCCCGTGGTCCCCTCTACCGGCCAAACGGCCGCGGCACGCGCCCGGCTCGAGATTTACAGGTTACGCTCCCGGTAACACCTCGTAAACTTGGCTTAACGACTTTAACCGGGCCTAACTGCTTCCTTCCTGCAATCAGACCCTGACCTACCTCGACCAAGTCCTGCCGGAAAAAGGCTCACGAGATACCGATGCGCCGATTCCGCTACGGAACCTCGGTAGAGTTTCGCGCCAAGTACGTTAAAAGACATGCGCGAACGACACGGAATACTCAACGGCAAAGTTCGGCACTTCGATTCGATGGATATTTATTTCTCGTGGTAATACCCTGGTTATTCGTATTTCTAAATCATCGCATCGTGGACCGCCGAAGAATTTCCCAACAATGGGGCGATTCGTCGCGGTGCCCCGTTCCGCGTTATCCTATATGTCTCGTCTGTCAGCTGTTTGTCGTAAATCAAGCAATTATGCACGGTCTCTAGCGCGGTAAGTGAGACACCGACCGAGAAATAAACCGAGCGTCTTTGTACTCGTAAATGAGCCCGCAACGGACTCTGAGGAATTTAATATAAAATTTATCGGAAGGCTTCTTATCGGCAATAACGAAACGCTCGAGCGGAAACGACCGTACTTCACCGGTACGGTGAATTCGATGGCTTCGATAATTTTTTATCGGCGTACAAGCGTTTAAGCGTCACCGCCATCGACGTGGCCGCGGTCATTTCTTACGCCTTTGCCGGGAATTTACGAGCGACACCTTCCTTCCACGGGAAGAGAGTCCATTTAACGAATCGGATTCACGCCGGCGTCTCGTTTGTTTGTACTGCCCTCCATTATCGTCCCGCGGCTTTCATTACATGTAGTAGTGGCCGGTAAATCTCCTTTTGTTGATTTTATCTTGGCGTTTACGAGCATCGTTATTAGGCGATACCACTTGAACCACCGTAAAGTCTACGCCTTTGAGGTCTGGCTCGTTCGATGTCGGTCGGCGTCGCGGAGGGGGAAGGAGAGGTCACGAAGGAGGAGTCGTGGAGGGGAGGCTAGCGAGTTGAGCGATCGTCCGCCAGATCGCGCTAGTACGGCGCCACCGCCGTTCCCCCGCGCGAGAGCTTCCCGTTACCGGAGGGACGCTCGTAACTTTGCCCGTGCGAATTGCTACACCGGTGAAACTTGCCGATACATTACGCACCCGAGCCGTGAATACATATCCCGACGCACTAGTCCCGCATTGTCTCATTAATAAGATACTTTCGCAAACCTCCACGAGCCCGTTGACGACGCCAAGAAGCCATTCAAAGAGGGGTCTGCACCCGAGGGCGCGTTTCAACGAAGACAACCGACTGGTGGGGAATCCGAACCACTCGAGCCGCACGACAGAAAACGGTGTCCGGAATGTCTCATAAGCGGAATTTCTCTAATTCCGGGTATTTCCATTTAATAACTCCCGGTACAACGCGGTATCCATTACGATTCAACCTCCCTTCGGCGGTTCCCCTTTAGAGGCGTTCCCGGGCCAAAAAGACCCGAAGCACCCGTGAAATCCGAAACGCGGTATAGAAAGGGTTACTAGTTCGTTCCGCGGCTTTTGTCGCTAGACCTCGCATTAGCGGCGAGTAAGTCACGCCTCTGGTCGAGGTCGCGAGCGCTGCGCTAACCCACCCTTCCTGCACACGAAAATGCGTAAAATCTGGTTCCGCGCGGGCAGTATTAGCATTTAAAAGTGAGCAGCGCCCCGTCTAGCGGCGCCATTGGTCCGCATTTACACAACAATGAGGGGCCGTACTCTAAAAACTCCCAGAATCCCCGAGAGCTGGGCTCGGAGGGAGCGAGAGGCCCGGGCGGGGGTAGCGCCGTCTCCCTCTCTCCCACTGGGACGAACGCGGACGCGGGGCGCGGGGTGTGGAACGAGACGTGGGATCTGGGACTTGGACCTGGGACGAGACGAAACGGGATGGGATGGGGCGCCCGGTGG